TATTCTATTGTTTAATAATTAGGATACTAATTTGTTTATGTTTTAATTATTATTATTATATTTATGTTAAAGGGGAGTTAAAGCGCATTATGGACTTGGTTATTTATATAGTTGGTTAATGTTAGTTAGATTATGATTATTATATTTGTAACCCTGTATTCAGCTCTGGGAAGTGGGGGAGGGAGAGGGGGGGTTAGGGGGGTTGGTTTTGGGGTTTATATTGTAACTTTTATAAAACTTTTCAATAAAAAAAAACATAGATAAGCTATTATTTCCCATTAGAATTGGCAATGAAGATACTGAAGTGGTGGATAGTTTTTGCCTTTTAGGATCAGATATCAACAGTGAAAGAATCAGCAGTCAAAACACTCTGCTGAGTGTTGTAGAGTAGCAATGAAGGTCTTGGAAAACATATCCTGATGTTGATATATGTTGGTACCTATAAAAAATTTCCATGACATTCTATAAAAGTGAAATAACAAATATTGATGCTTATGAACTTTAGTGTTGGAGATTTCAGAGAGATCATTGATAGCTAAGAAAATGAACAAATGGATCACTGAACAAATCTCACTCAAGGAACAAATGACCAGGCTTAGATTATCATACTCTAAACATATTATGTAAGAGCTAACTTTCAGAAGAAGCTGTATTGATGGGAAAAATGAAAAGAAAGAGGATAGCAAATAGCAAGGTGGATAGATTCAATTACAGCACTTTACAGCACTGTTGGAAAACATGAAGGATCAGGTTGGGGACAGAGCATCATGGATAAAATCTATGTATATGATCATTAAGAGTCAAGACCAATTTGATGGCACATAATCAATTACTTCCCATGATTTGAAAAGTCCAGCTCTATTGAGGCCGCCTAAAAGTGCATTTCTCTTTTTAGCAGTCATATAGAATGGGCGGCGTGATGGCTCAATGGTTAAAAAGCTGGGTTTGTTGGTTGGAAAGCCATCAGTCCAGGTCTGAGACCTGAGCGCCATGCGATCGGGTGAGCTCCTATTCTCACTCTAGCTCCTGCCAACCCAGCAGTTTGAAAGCATGCAAAATGCAAATAGATGAATAAGTACCACTTTGGTGGGAAACTAATAGTGCTCCGTGATGTCATGCTGGCCACATGACTGCAGAAATGTCTTCAGACAGTGCTGGCTCAATGGCCTCGAAACAGAGATGAGCACCATCCCCTACAGTCAGCAACAACTGGCAGAGTAAAATCTACAGGGAATCCTTTTTTTGTAGAATCATAGGGCTGGAAGGGACCTTGGAGTCCTTATTCCACCTTGGAAACCACCAGCAATGGAGTGCCCACAACTCCAGGAGACAAGCTGCTTCACTAATTGTTTTCACTGTCAGGAAATTTCTCCTTAGTTCCAGATTGGATCCCCTCTGATGAGCTTCCCCCCATTGCTTCTTGTGGTGCTTTCAGGTACTTTGGAGAATAAGTCAACCCCCTCTTCCCTGTGGCAGCCCTTCAAGTATTGGAAGACTGCTATTATGCTAAGCCTTCTCTTCATCAGGCTAAACTAAACATATCTAGTTTCCTTAGTCATTCTTCATACAGTTTAGCCTCCGGATCACTTATCTTTGTTGCTCTTCTCTGCACTCTCTTTAGAACCTCAGCCTCTTTTTTGTATCATGGTAAGCAGAACTGGATGCAGTATACCAGGTGTGACCTTACTAGTGCAATATAGAGTGGTACTATCAATTCCTGTGATCTTGATGCTATCCCTGTGATGATGCAGCCTAAGACTACATTGGCCTTTTTGGCAACTACCGTATTTCCCTGAAAATTAGTCCCGGTCTTTTTTTTTGCCTCCAAAAGAGGCACCAGAACTTATTTTTGGGGGGGGGGGTCTTTTCCACAGTCTGACCTTACAGTAGCGGCACCGAGAGCTCCACTCAGCCAGCCCACTTCTTCTGTGGCAGAAGGAAATGCCTCTGCAGCTGAGAATGGCACTCCAGATTGACATGCACAGCATCCCCCGGCCTGCATTTTGCCGTCAGAGGCCTTCTGGGAAGGCCTCCGCAGCCGAGAACCTAGCTATGGATTGACAACAAAATGCAGGCCATGGGGCCCCGCAGAAGTGGGCCGGCAAGGCAAGGCAGGTGTCGATTCATGGGAGGCCTGGTTGCAATGATAAGCAGGTGTGGGGCGCATGGGGCAACTCCACCCCCGAGGCCCCGCCCTAGCTTGATTTTTAGGTGTGCGCCTTGCCTCAAAACTAGGGCCTGAATTCCTCTCACTGGTACTACTACTGCTGAGGCAGGTACTGCCTGTTCCGTACCTGTGTAATTGGTTTTTCTTGCTATGTAGTAGTATTGAATCAATAGTGGATCAAGTATTTTTAAATTATATATATATATATATATATATATATTTAAATTAAAGTTCTGTCTAATTGCTCTTTTGTTGCTGTTTGCATGCTCTGATATTATTTTTATAAATCAAAATATTTCTGAAACAACCTCCCCACCACCCCAGTCATGATCTACAATGCAACCCTTACAGGGAACAAAGAGTCTAAAAGCAATAAAAAAAAAAAGGAGGCGCAGACCTCAGGAATTACAAACTGTCCAGCAATCAACAAGGCCCCCAACAGGTTGGCTCTGCCATCATTCCTCAGTTCATATATTGGTATCTAGAAAAGAGAGAAATGATAGCCAATTGCTGTTAAAAAAGAAATCATGCGCACTCAGCAATATGAGAGAGCAACTCCAGTCGACACAATACAAAGCGAGTGTAAAGCCATGCATAATTTATGAAGCATTCTCTTAACGTATGATTTATTGGAACATGGTTGTATTTCTTCATCTCAACTATGGCAGATGGTGGAATTTCTTGTTTGGAATGTAAAATACTTTCTCCCACACCTCATGAAGTTATCCCTGAATTTTACCATACTCTTTATGTTGGGGTGGGAGAGGGAATAATTCAAAGTGGAAGATCCTCCCCAACATTTAGCCTATTTCTTTGCATTTTTTTTGAAGCTTTAGCTAATGCAAAAGTCAAATTTCCACCAATGGTTCATGACAATCATGAGCAGCCTTGTGGCAAGCAATTAAATAGCAAATAGTCTGTAAAAGTAAGGTGTTTTACTGGATCCCCTTTTAATTGTCCTTTCTTCCCAATAACCACCATAAAGAGCTAAGAGGATTTGCAGTGGTGATTAAATGGAAGGGATTCATTACTTCTTCCCAAAACATTGTTCCCTGGTAGAAATCATCCCTTTAAAACTGTTGCAAGCTCCAGCAATAATAATGCCAAGGGTAAGGAGAAACAATTTGAATCAGGAAAAGGGAGAAGATTAAAAAATAAAACAACAAACCTCCAGCAGTACCAATATCTCAATCAAATTAGCTGTATTTCAGGATATTTCCAATTAAAAAAAGAACACCATACAAGATCATGAATTGTCCACATCATTTCTCATTCACTATATTCCATGTGCAAGTAGGAGTGGAAAAATAGTAATGAATAAGAATTTAAAAAAATGTCTTCTATAGTCAAAACTTATTTTTCAAGACAAATATATCGTTTAACTGAAAATTTCTTACCTGAGATCCTGTCAAGATTACAGTTTTACCCAGGTTCTCACACATGAAGGACAATGCTGAAGATGTATAAGCCATTGTATCTGTGCCATGGAGAATCACAAATCCATCATACTTCTCATAGTTTGCCTGCAAATTCAAAACAAATTGTGGTGAGAGAAACAATCAAAGGGACAAAATAATCAGTATTTAAATAATACAAACCTTTTGAGAATTGTGGGATATAAAATGGTGATGGACAGAGGTCATGCTTGTTGCATTTATATCAGACATGTCAAACTCGCGACGTTACGTGACATCGCGCAACGTATCGGGACAGTTTTGCCATTGCTGGCAATGGGGTGGGGGCGGCTTCCGGATGACGCGTCCAGCCCGCGGGCTGGCAGTTTGACACCCCTGATTTATATCAATAAAATCAACACCAACCAAGCACAAAAGTTATTAATTTAGAATTAAATAGCAGAGGGCAAGGTAATTTAAAACCAATGTAATTTAGTTTGCTTTCAGTACCAAAACAAAATAAAACTGAGCTCTCATTTATAGTAGAGAGGTCCTTTCAGTGCAGATATTAGAATTTGTTTGTCTGATCTCTAAAAAGCAGGTAGAGAGGGAAAAAAAGTCTCTCCAAATATACATTTAAAAAGTTATCATGACGAAACATTCCAACATGGCATCCACTAGATGAGTTGCCTGGGACTAAAGGAGCCCACATCCGTTAGAGAACATTCAAGATGGAGGAATGACTGAATGTTGGAGAATCATGATCTGATCTCTATCAGCCAGGTCTGCCTGTTCCTGCAGAATAGATAAAGATTTTTTTTCCCCCATCCTCACACAAATGGATGCTAAAACATAAAATGAAAAATAAAAACAAAGGAAGGACTTGAAAAATCCCAGCAGAGGACAGCCCTTATGTCTGACCAATACAAGAAAATATGATCAATAATCCCTTATTTATTTGAGTATGCCTGTCTAGCTTCTAAGAAAAAACATAATTAATTCTTAAAGAATACAGACAACATAAAATCTAGTGAGAGTTTTTTTTTCAGTCACTAATTATGACAACATTCAAAGACTTGTTCTTTGGTGTATAAATATTAATGATATGTCCTTAACCAGAGGAAGACTGCTAATTAAGAAAAGCTTAGCAGAAGCTTTAAAACAGGAATGTTAACATATGTAAATGAATCATATGGTCTGATTCCTTGTTCTTACTTTTACTTTGGGGATTATACCATTTATGGGAGCAGACTAAGCAAACTGGAGCTATTGTAATAGTGGATACAGAAAAAATGCCATCCTTACCAGATGCCAAATGCTAATGGAAGACTGCCCTCGTCTGTTCATAAGACAGTACAGAAAATACACAGACGCACACATACCCACAGAGATTTCTTTAAATAAAATTAGAAATTTACATTGTCAAAGAATGAATAGACACTTGGATATACTTTATCTCCCAGATGGCTAATGGTAAATTCTAAGCTATCACTTGCCAATCTTAAAATAATACAATTAGTGGTACGCAGAATCAGATCATTGATTTTTTTTTTTGGTCCAGGACTAATTGTCTGACAGGCAATAGGTTTCTAAGATTTCAAGCAAGCCCTTCTCATCACCTGACTTATTTTAAATTAGAGATGCCATGTCCTTTGCCATTGTACTACGACATCTGACCTCCCATAATGTGGAAGACAACATTGTTTATATCTAATTATTTTTTTTCTGAGGTAGAATTGGCAACAATCTTTGTTTTCATGCCTGAAATAATTAAAGTTTTCAATAAAGCAAAGGAAAGTAGATGAAAAGTAGAACAAATTGCAGGAGGCTTTCAAATTAGAAGGATTTCTGGCTTACAATGGCAAGTATATTTGCAAATATTAATTTGCTATTTATTTATTCTTTTATCTGTCCCACAACCAAAGTTCTCTGGGCAGATTACAAAATCATGCAGTCAAAAGTCAGAAACATTAATATAGCAAAAGTTAGATAAAAAGTGACAACCAGTATAATTATTATTTCTTAAAAAAGAACTATCTGCAATATCCAGCCTGGCATTAATTGCTTAATTTTCTCAGTGTTCCTCTATTGTAAAATGTAAGTATTAAACGGTATCCTTCAAGTAGGCCTTTGTACAGGTCTATGGACTAATTTATTTAATTCAGTAATTGGAATCACACATCCCAATTAACCATTAGTTTACTTATATTTGGCTTCCTGAATAAGCCACCACTGGTTGCGTTCATACACTACACAGCCTAAATGAGACAACCCACATGATGGCTTAGCAGGATGTGTGAACTCAGCAGTCTGTATACATTATAATGTAATAATTTGTGACATTCTGTTGAGCTAATCTCTTGGGTATGATTTTACCTCCAGGAGTAACTATTATGCATTTAGCTCCCATTGACGTTTGCTTATACCACTCTGCATTGTGAAAGAATCAGAATTAACAATCCTTTAAGGAACCTGTCCAAAATGTAACTCACTGGTTCAAGCATGATTTTGAATTAGAAGTGAGCAAACTGAAATTGGGAAGGGAGGGAGGGAGGACTTTAACATGTTTAGTTCTGGAGGGTGTTGCATTATCCCAAACAGACCTCAGTCACTCAAGCCCTCATCATCTCACACTTGAACAACTGCAATGCACTCTCCATAGGGCTATCCTTGAAGAGTATCTGGAAGTTACTCTTATATAATATATATTATTATATTATATCATATAATTTTATATAAAAGTATATTATGTATTATATAAGAGTAACTTCCAGATACTTTTCAAGGATAGCCCAATGGAAAGTACATTGCAGTAGTCCAAGAGTGAGACGATCTTTGTATAATATATAAAAAATGGTTGCTGGAATTGGGTATGTCTAGTTTAATGAAAAAGGACTAGGAAGAGGGAGTCAAGCTATTCTCCAAAGTACCTGAAGACAGGACAAGAAGCAATGGATGGAAACTAATCAAGGAGAAAATCAACCTAGAACAAAGGAGAAATATCCTAAGAGAACAATTAATTAGTGAAACAACTTGCCTCCAGAAGTTGTAAATGCTCTAACACTGTAAGTTTTAAGAAGAGATTGGATAGCCATTTGTTTGAAATTGTATAGAGTTTCCTGCCTGAGCAGGGGGTTGGACTAGAAGATCTCCAAGGTCCCTTCCAACTCTGTAATTCTGTTTCAGCTGGTGCAGAATGTAGCTGCGCAGGCAGTTCTTGGGACCCTTAGGATGGCCCATATTACTTCATTATATACACAAGCTGCACTGAAAGCTTGTTCACTCCTGGGTCCAATTCAAGATGTTGGTCCTTATCTTTAAAGCCCTTCATGGCATGAGTCCAAGCTATTTGAGAAACCAGCTCACCCCAATGGAATTAGCTTGCCCTACCTGTGCTGACAGGAGGAATATGTGCAGATCCTAGCAACCAATGAATTTCAGCTGGTGGGGTCCAGAGGAAGAGCTTTTCTACTTCCACCTTCTGGAACAACTTGCCCCCAAGGTCAGATCCATTCCCACCCTTTTGACCTTCTGTAATGTCTTGAAGACATGGCTATGCCAACTAGCTTGGGGCTCCAATGGGGGTGTGGCACATTGGAAGTAACTGATGGGGTAGAGAATACCTGACCTCCTTCCTGTATGCACTTTGCTCCTTCCCTCTCCCTCCTGCTTAATTTTCATTTTAATTGACTTTTTAAATTTAAGATCTTTATTTATTTATTGATGGTGATGGTGATGGTGATGGTGATGGTGATGATGATGATGATGATGATGATGATGATGGTAGTAGTAATAGAGTTGGAAGGGATTGGAGGTCATCTAGTCCAACCCCCTGCTCAGGCAGGAAACCCTATACCACTTCAAACAAATGGCTGTCCAGTCTCTTCTTAAAAACTTGCAGTGTTGGAGCATTCACAACTTCTGGGGGCAGGTTGTTCCACTGGTTAATTGTTCTCACTGTCAGAAAATTTCTCCTTAGTTCTAGGTTGCTTCTCTCCTTGATTAGTTTCCATCTGTTGCTTCTTGTTCTGTCTTCAGGTACTTTGAAGAATAGCTTGACTTTGTCTTCTTTGTGGCAATCCCTGCAACCGTTCTTTATATGTTTTAGTCTTTTTATATGTTTTAGGCGAGGGGGGGAGGCAGGGAGGGAGTGGGAGAGAGATATGAGACTATGAGGGGCCCAAAGTTACCTAGTGTCTCTCATGCCTAAGACAGGACTAGAATTCACAGTCTCCTGGTTTTTGGTCTAGTCTTACTCACTAGACCATTTATGATTAGGGTTATATTTATGATTAGGGATATATTTATGTTTAGGGTTAGGATTCTCATACAAATATTTTATTTATACTGTATGTGTATGTATATATTCTATTGTTTTCTATTGTTGTTTTAAACATATATGTCCATATAGGATTGTAAACCACTCAGAGTGAGTGGACGATTGGAGCAGTATGTAAGCCCAAATAATATAAATATATTGAAGCTTACCTTATTTTTTATATATAAAATATCACATGGTATTTACTAATCAAACAACAATTTCAAACATGGAAAACATAATCCAATTGTTCACAATGGCCGTCTTCTCTAGACCTGCTGTGGTCTCTTAAAACTGAGGTGGTTTCACGCACCTTCAGCAGGGATCCAGATGGAGGTAGACTAGGAATTAAAGCTTACCAGACCCGCAACTAGACATCTACACAGAAATTTATAAATGCCAGATTGATAGAATGATCCCATGTAGTTGGGAAAAAAGTTGTAGTTGAAAGCCCTTTTAGTTGAGAGAAAAAAATCTGAACAAAGGAAAGGAGCACTGACCCACTGAATACCCAATGGCCACACTTTGTCTTTGTAACCTTTAATATTTAATTTCTCTCCAGTGCCCTTTATCACTTTCACTGATGCTAATCATCAGATAAATAAGTGAATGATCATTTATTTATCATACAAGTCTGCTTTCTTGTGCACCAAGTCTATTGAGATTTGTGACATTGTACAACATTTCAAGTGTGGGCAATTGAGAGAAAGTCGTGTAATCAATCTGCCATAAGGAAGGACCATTCTCGCAAAGGGAACATAGTGAGGTCCCAGAGGAGTAGAGAGTCAGGACTTGGGAGACAAAAGCCCAGGATCCCACATGTTGGACTTTTTGGGAATGTCCTCAAATGCAACAGTAAATAAATAGTGAGCTTCCAGATAATTATGAAATCCAGTATTTAAAATTACCTTGTTGATGCTTTTGAAATAAGATGTTGGAGAAGACTCCTAAGAACATCTTGGACAGCCAAGAAAACAAACCAATAGATCATTGAACAAATCAACCCAAAGTTCTCACTTGAGGCACAAATGACCAGGCTGAAATTAACCTTCAGATATCTTATGCAAAGCATAAGAAGACTCTGGAGAAGACTCTAGTGCTTGGAAAGGGTGGAAGGAAAAGGAAGAAGAAGACAACCAGCCAAAAGATGGGTAGTCTCAGCTACTAGACAACGAGTCACTATTGAAGATCCAAAGACCACGTTAAGAACAGACTATTATGGAGGAAATCTATCTATGTAGTCACTAAGAATTTATAGCAACTTGATGATACCTAACCAATGCATCAAAACTGCACTACTGCATAACAGATCTTTGATTTCCAGTAACAAATGAAAATGACTTTTTCTAAGCCACTAATATACTAGCTTCTGGAAGCTTGAACATATACCAGAGAACAGAAACGTCAGTGCAGAACTAATAACCATGTAGCTCAATACAACTCTGTTATACACCTTATACCAGACATGTCAAACTCGCGACATCACATGACGTCACGCAACATATCGGAACTTTTCCCCCATTGCCGGCAATGAGGTGGACGCAGTTTCCTTGTGACGCGTCCGGCCCACGGGCCGGCAGTTTGACACCCCTGCCTTATACAATTCAGATAGAACCAAACTGGCTGGGAATTCTGGGAGCAACAATCCTAACAAAGCAGTTACCAATCCTTAGAACTTTTCTCTCAAACTTGCTACTATTAACTCCATTGAACAGAAACTTCAGTGATTAAATACTTCTGTGTCCAGAGAACAAGTTCTTCATCAACAAAGTTATGGAGTATGACACTCATCATTTCACTGAATTCTATTTTTAAAATGTCATTGTGTTTCAATAATGCCAGATTGCTCTGTAAATTGCTTATTCTTCTGCAAATTGTCCCTGGCATACCATCTGTAAATTTTGCAGAGCAAAAAGCAGCAATATACCACCATCTTGTGGTCATATGAATTTTAGCAGAAAGGTTTTAAAAAACTGATGTATTCCAGGAAATGCAAGGCAGGCACTAATTTTTTAAGTGAGTCATAGAATTATAGAATTATAAAACTGGAAATCACTTAAAGTTACATCAGCTTTCATTCTCCTCATTCCTTTTCCTAGAACAGTGTTTCTTAAGTGTAATCCTGGAGGGCCTCAAAGACCCTTTCAGGGGTCCATGAAATCACCATTTTTGCCAGATATTGGAGATATAGGTAGTCCTCAACTTACAACAGTTCATTTAGTGACCGTTCAAAGTTACAACGGCACTGAAAAAGTGATGTATGACCATTTTCTACACATATTACCATTGCAGCAACCCATGGTCACATGATCAAAATTCAGATGCTTGGCAACTGACTCATATTTGTGACGATTGCAGTGTCCCGGGATCATGTGATTAGCTTTTGTGACCTTCTGACAAGTAAACTCAATGGGGAATGCAGATTCATTTAATAACCATGTTATTAACTTAATAAATGCAATGATTCACTTAACAACTGTGACAAAAAACTCACAAAACGAGCAAACTCACTTAACAACTGTTTCACTTAGCAACATAAATTTTGGGCTTAATTGTGGTCGTAACTTGAGGACTGCCTGCACGTAACTCAATGTTATTCCTTATCATTATTTTTATCTGTTAAAGTTTTTTCATGAAAAATATTTTATTTAAATCTTTATCTAATGAGTTTAATATTGTTATTTTACATGATTCAATATTCTACAAATGCATTCATTTTAATTTTTAATTAGATTAATATAACCCATACAGACCAAAGCTTTTTTGCGGTTGGTCCTCTATAATTTTTAAGAGTGGGAAGGCGTCCCGAGAACAAACCGTTTAAGTAACACTGTCCTAGAACAATCTTAGAAGCAGGATCTTAATTTTTAGAAGAATATTTGTATATAAAAAAGGATTGTTTAAGAGATGCTAGGCCATCACTATTGATATTCCAATGATATTCTCATTAGTTTTCTCCAAGTCATTTCTCAAAAAAGAAATCAGTAATGAAGGAAATAGGAAAAATGGAAGATGGCATATATCAGTATGAGTTTAATAGGCAGCCATGTGAATCACACAACTTGCCAATTAAGATAATTGGTTGGTTGTGACTATGTAATCATCTCAGTTAAAATAAACTGAGGATTTGAAAGAACTGAAGTTTTGGTGCTATATTAGGCAACTGATCAGAAATAATAGCTGGGTTACTGATCACAGAGTGATTATGTATCTGTGACCAATAACATATTATTTATCTTTAAAAATTACCTCAAGACACCTGGCAATTTTGTCCCATTCAGATGGTGTCATATTTGAAGAATCTAGTAGAGGAGAAAGTTCCAGGATGGTGTAGATAATTCTTTTATTCTGGTTGAAAAAACTGTCATAAAAAGAACATTTTGTGAAATAAGCTGTTTCAACGATACTGCTTTTCAGATCACTCTGGACAAAGGTATCAAGTTATAGCTGATGAGAAAATCTACAAATAGAATGGCTTTCATGCAAGATATTCCTGGCAACTTGTGAGGGGTTGACATGATACAGGTGCAAGTTAGCATCAACACCCACAGTCATTCTGAAGTTGGGCAGCACCTAAACCTGTGATGACGAACCTTTTAGAGACTGAGTGCCGAAAAACTGGCCCTGCCCCCGCTCCACCCCCTGCCTCGCCCCCACCCCCCCACCTGCCCACAGGGCCACTCACTGCCTCCAGGGCCCGCCGTAGATCGTCCAGGCAGCCCAGCAGCGCTATGGCGGTCACGCCCTCTGCCCGCGCCCTGCAGCATCAACTGTGCACAATGGGGTGTGAGGGCAGAGTCTTATCTACGCTGCCTGGCTGCCATGTCCTTGGCTGCGTTGCTCTGCGTGGGCCACGCTCAGGGGCGACTCTCTGTCAGGGGAGCTGCTGGAGAGGAGGGGGTCATGGGGGGAGGCGAGGCTGGGGCAACGGCATGTGTGCCCACAGAGAGGGCTCCGAGTGCCGCTTCTGGCACCCGTGCCATAGGTTTGCCACCACTGACCTAAACTGAATAAATAAATTAAATTAAACCCCCATGCCTCTACTTGTCTGTCAGTGTGCAAATTTATTTTCCCTCACTCTCAGCCTCCTGAGGCTCCACTACTACACATTATTCTAGTATCTTTTAATTCTCTAGTGAGGTTTTCCTTATAAAAATCAGCACTAATATAAACAAATTCAACCATTTTCCATCTATTTGAGAGTTATCTATTCTATAACGGTCTGGTTTGGTACAGCAACCAAACAGGACAGGTACAAATTCCAACGGATAGTTAAGACTGCAGAAAAAACCATTGCAACCAGCCTGCCTTCCATAGAAGGCCTGTACATTGAGCAGGTCAGAAGTAGGGCTGGGAAGATGTCATATCCTGATTGTAAACTATTTCAACACCTTCCCTCAGGACAGTATTATAGGGTATTGTATGACAAAACAACTAGACACAGGGGCAATTTTTATCCTCGTGCCATCATTCTACTGAACACTTAATTCTCTCAGTGCTATCTAACATCTGCTACCCCATGTAGTGTGCTGTAGTATTATTTATTCTTATTATCTTCTTTACTCTCCCTTTTATTGGTAATGTTATTATTATTATTATGTTGCTTTGCGTGTACACTGAGTGCTTATGTATGGAGACAAATTCCTTGGGTGTCTAATCACATCTTGTCAAATAAAGTATTCAATTCAATTTAATTTTAATTAATTTACATAATTGGCCAGGTATTGCAATTTTATTTTTTCGAACTGCAAGGGGATTAGCTCAGGATTTGGGCAGCCAATCCCAATATATCAGGAGAGTCCCAGATTGGAAAGAGTTATTCTAGACACAATCTTAAATATTTTTTAAAAAAATATCCAGGATGCTTCACAGGAAATTCAAAAGGTCATTAAGCAAAAATATTCCAGTATTCCAAATACATACGGAAGTACTAAAGTATCAACTCCAAGGCGGTTATATAGTTGGGTTTCCTTGGCATATGTTGCATCATGAAGTATGGTCATCTTCTTCAGAGCCTCTGCAAGCTTGTTGGCTTCAGGGACAAGACCTGAGAAACAAAAGAAATCATGAATAAAACAATGTTCTCTGACTGTTTATCTGAACTTTGAGAGTGAGATATAGGTCAGCAGTAGAAACATGGTTAGCATGAAGAGAATTCTAGGTTCATTCCTTGCATCTTCAGTTAAAGCTAAACATATTCTTGCCTAAAACCCTAAATTGTCATTGCAATGATAAGAAGCGAAAGTGGATCAAGAAAAAAAAATCCATATAAACTGGTATCTGAAATCATAAAACTCTGCTCATGCATTCTGCTTGTCTAACACTCAAAACAGGCAAGAAGTGAAATAAAACAGGGAAGGCTATCATCTGCAACAGATTTTACACCATCACATTATTGCTTAGTGCACATGTGAATGCCGTTCTTGTACCTTTGGTCCCTCCCAACTGAATCAACACAGAGGGTCAGGCTCATACTTAAATTACTTCAGAAGAATCCTGAAATGTTTAGAATCAGCCCATTTCATTGTCAGATTACTGTGAGCATTCAGCTTAATCTAATGCACATTCCTTGTTGACAGTATGGCCCAGATTAATACAGGTAGTCCTCGACTTACGATCATAATTCAGCTTGGCAATTACGGCCATAAGTCACGATAGTCGTAAAGTGGGTCACCATATGACCAGACCTGTTTTTGTGATCTTTTTTTGTGGTAGTCATTAAGCGAATACAGCAGTCATTAAATGAATATTGTGATTGTTAAGTGAGCTATTGTTCACTGTGGATCAGTTTTTATAAATAAATAAATATAAATAAATATAAATCACGTAAATAAATATAAATAAATATAAATCACATCTACATGACCATGGGCTGCTAGAAATGGTCTAAATTATGGGCTGGTTGCAGTCATGTGACCATGGGGGGGGAATGACATTGGAATTTCATAAGTCTTTTTGAGGGGTCGGTAATAAATAGAGGACTACCTATCTTGTTCTTAAACAGTTTTAATTTGCCATATGATCAGAAAAAGAAACTAGGTCTTCCAGTTCCTAAAAAATTAGCCCTGTTTAAATGAAATAAAACATTGCATATTATATAGTACAAATCTTGTTTCAAAAATTAGGTTTTCAGGTATGCAAGTATTTATCAAGAATAAACATTTTTCCATGTTAGCCCTTTCCATGGAGGCAGTGCCCTTTACATGATGTCATGTTCAGGAACACATTACTCACTTAGAATAGGGCTCCCTTTCACTATTACTCAGGCAGCTGTTGCAATAGGCTAGTTGAATTGCATTGTTGCAATAAATTAGTCAAACTGCAGAGCTACATTAAAACTTCCAGAGTTAAACCTCCAAGTTTTCTTCCTTGTGTCTATAAGAAAGAAAGAAAAATCTAAAACATCAACTAAGATTTCTTGTTATCATTTTATTTGGATGTATCTAATACTTGAGCCAAAGAATGCTTCTGCAAGCTTCCCTGTATTTCGAAAAAGTTAGGAGAGAAAATGAAAGTTGGACCAAGAAGAAAATTGTGTATTAATAATTGACACACATCCCTAGGCAAAAGCACATAAGTATCCAAAGTTATTCATGGAGGGTGAGGTAATGTGAATGTATATCAAAGATTCATGCTGAAAAGGGACTTATTTTGGTGTTATTTACTTCCAACTAGTTTGGAACAATCCTGAGCATAACAAGTCAGGGAAAAGCAGGGAATGGTTTCTGGCATTCTTTCCAAACTTTTTAACAACTTTTGGCTACAGGAAACATCCATTTTACAGTTGTCTCTTTGTGTTATAACAATTAATTCTGCATAACAGTTATATCTATCTGCGCCATGAGTTCTAGTCCTACCTTAGGCATGAAAGCCAGCCAACTGATTTTGAGTCTGTCATCCTCTCTCAGCCCAACTCACCTTACAGCAGGGGTCCTCAACCTTGGCAACTTTAAGACTTGTGGACTTCAACTCCCAGAATTCCTCAGCCAGCTTAAAGTTGCCAAGGTTGAGGACCCCTGCCTTACAGGGTTGTTGATATGGGGAAAATGGGAGGAGAAAGGAATATTAGGTATGTTCACCACCTTGAGTTATTTATAAAAATAATAAAGGTAGGAAATAAATAAAAATATGTCTGCTCTTTTGTTTTGCAACTTATGTCTATGTATGCAAAGTATGAGGCAGGCTGCATTCCCTCAGCTCTGGGTCGTGCATTTGGGAAGGATGGAGAAGGAGTGGAGATTTCCAACCCCTGAATCATGTGACCCTAAAGGAAGGGCCTGGTAGGCTTAGAATAGAAGTGCCAGCAGCATTCTGAGCCAATGTGCAAGTGCTTCTCCCATAGGGATACCTTGGAGAATATTTTAGGAAAAGATTTCTCCATTGCCTCAACCCAGACCCCACTCATTTGCAGACCTGGTCCTTCTTTTGTTGCTTTGTCCCATTAAATCAAACTTTATATCATTTTTTAGAATTATCTTGCTGACAGATGGTGGAGTCCCAGTCGTCTTTACATTACAGTATTCTGTTCCAACAAAGAATTAAAAACCTCCTTCAAATCATGTTCAACTCCTGGTGGCTTCACCTTTCAACCATCCTAATCATGTTTAGCTGCCCCCCCCCCCTTCACCCAATGAACTCATGAGACCTATTTCCCTATGAATATACCTAATTAAGCTAAGATCAGCTTCAAGGTGGCAGCCATAGGCTAAGATCTCAGGAACAGTCAGGTAGAAGACACTCAATAAATGAGATCAAAACTCTTGAGGTGCCTTCTCCAGTGCAGTCAAGCAACCGCGGAATCACAAATCTCTCCCAAACTACTTTTGGCCAATAGGCACCGTGGCTGGGAGAGAAGGAAGCTGTACTCTAGCACATCTGAAGAGCACCAGATTGGACCCCCGTTGTATAGGATTGCCTCAATCGGGCTAGAACCCAATAAGCGCTTTATCCATGGGGGGGGGAGTTGAATTTCTGCCCGCCCGAGAGGCGCCTGGCAAGGGAGGATCCGTGGGGAGGGAAGATCGCTCCTCTCTTTCAGGTGCTCGGCTGGTTACTCAGCCTCATCAAGCGCCTTCTTACTCACTCACCTTCGGACTGGGGCACCATCCCAATAGTCCCCCCGGTGTTGATCACCAGCACCCACACTTCGGCCATGGGTCTGCATCTAATGTCCAGCGCCGGAGCGGGCTCGGTGTACGAGAGAGCTCTGCCCAGCTCGCCGTTCTCCTCCTCTGTCATGAGGGCTCCCCGGTAGGAGATAAAGGGCCGGCGGTATGGATGCCCCACTCGGGCAAGCTGGGCATCCAAATACCGGCTTAGCGCCGCCCCTTTCCGGGCTCGCCCTCTCCCATTGGCCAGGCCTCGTCCTACCTCCCAATTTGGGGGGGGGGGTAGCGGGACGACCCTCTCCAGCTTCCTCCCGTTGAGCCACTTGGTTGCGCGGCGGTGACCAGGGAGGGCAGGTCAGGGCCCCTGACCTGGGGAGGTTGCATTGCCCTCCGGCGGTTCCAGTTCCCTCCGACGAACTACGACCCTGAACTTTTCTCTAAGAACGGAAAACAAAGTGACCCCCTCCGCCCCGAGAAACAAGCAGGGGCGCCAGAAAGCTGGTTTCTCTCTTAAAACTTTCCTGAGCCGCCTCAAAAACAAACACCCGCTTGGGTTTTTTTTTTTTTTTTTTTTTTTGGTCGATGATTCAATTATTAACGTTTTCGAAATCAACATACAGGATGAAGAAGTTCAAAACAAAGGGGAGGGGGAAGTATCTTGCTGGGCCAGACCAAGAGAACACCCGAGTTCAACATCTCTGTTTCGACAATGACAGAAGAGATGGCGCAAAGCCAGAGCTTTTCTGAAGCGCACGTGTGAAAACCTCCGCGCTTGGCTGTTACGTGCTCTTATATCGATGAACAGCATACAAAAATGTTCAGTGAACGTTTATGGCGACCTCTTAAATGCCGTAATTAAAAAGTCTGATCTTGTAATAACGGAAAAGTAATTTCCCAATTTTCCACAGCATGTTGAAATTCAGGCAAATACATCGTGTGGCCTGTATCAAAAAAAAAAAAAAATGCATTTGGCTCTCTAAAGGGCTCTGGGATTTTGTATTGTTTTTTTTTTAACATAGAAAGACCTAGTAGTCCATATGTTCCAATAACACTTAAAACATGTATCATTACTTTTGTATTTTTTAAGAGCTCTCCTTCTGCTCTGGGGTGTTGTTTTCTTTTCCATAATAGAGCCACCTTTGACCTACCGTTCCTTTGTAATAACTACAGAATAACCATGGTTTGTACACCTTTTGTCTTTTTTTTTTTTTTTTTTACTTCCATATATTTTTCAGGGAACAATTTAAGATGTTTCAGTGCCTGAGGTGGGATATATGTACTCTAGCTATGTAAGTATCTAATGGATTTATAGGGCTGCCCAATTCAAACAAAGTAGCTCCAGACACCATGTGAGCAAATGGACAAAGAATAATCTCAGATTTCTCCAGGGTAGGAAAATTTCTCCTACAGCTATTTAACGTTCACATTTATCAGTATTAAGTGAACTTGCCGTCTTTGTTGGAAAGGCTTTTAGTTTGCTTTCATTTGCCACAATTGCTCCCTACAGGCTTGGACCATTTTTCTAGAATATTATAGAATCATAGAATCAGAACTTGAAGGGACCTTAGAGGTCTTCTAGTCCAATTCCCTGCTCAAAGCAGGAGTCCTTATTCTACCTTGGACAAATGAAAACCACTAAGGATGAAGCACCCACAGCACCAGGAGGCCAGCTGTTCCATTGACTAATTGTTCTAATTATCAATAAGTTTCTCCTTAGTTCAAGGTTGGATCTTGGACTAGCTTCCATCTATTGCTTCTTGTCATGCTCTTAGGTGCTTACGAAGAGGCAGAACAGTTCCAGCTGCCCCAAACCATGTAATTTTTGGTGACTGAGCCTGAATGGCTCCTTTGTTTATTTTACAAAAAAAAATTCCAGGAGATGAAATTGTAGAATATCTAGAGCAGGGGGTCCCCAACCCCTGGTCCGTGGACCGGCACCAGCTCATGGCATGCAAGAAACTGGTCCGTGCAAACAAGCGAAGCCCCATCCGCAGGATACAGGCAGCACACAAAACCACGCACCCTCCCGTCCGTGAAAAAACTCTCCACGGAACCGGTCCCTGGTGCCCAAAAGGTTGGGGAACCTCTGATCTAGAGTGCCAGTGAAGATGAAAAGCCAGTTTAAGTTATATATACAACCACAACTGGAACCAGATGATGATGATGATGATGATGATGATAATAATAATAATTGGAAGGGACCTTGGAGGTCATCTAGTCCAACCCCTGCTCAGGCAGGAAACCCTATACCATTTCAGACAAATGGCTGTCCAGTCCCTTCTTAAAAACGTCCAGTGTTGGGAGCATTCACAGCTTCTGGAGGCAGGTTATTCCACTGATTAATTGTTCTAGCTGTCAGGAAATTTCTCCTTAATTTTAGGTTGCTTCTCTCTTTGGTTAGTTTGTTAAGGTAGTTGTTTAAAAAAGTTGTATCTGATTTTACACCCCTTTTTTGCCATGGTTGTTAAGTGAATCACATGATCATTGAGCAGATCCAACTTCCCCCTTTGACTTTTCTTGCCGGGAGCAGGCTGGGAAAGTCGCAAATGGTGATCACATGACCCCAGGATGCTGTAACCACTGTAAATATATGACAGTTGCCAAGCATCTGAATTTTGATCACATAACCATGGGGATGCTAATGACAATCATAAGCACAAGGACCGATCAAGTCACATTTTTCAGTGCTGTTGTAACGTCGAACAGTTGCTAAACAATTGGTTGTAAGTTGAGGACGACATGTAATGGTCACAAGGGTGAAGCACTGCTACTTTTCCTCTTACTGGAACAGCAGGCCGCTCTCCAATAGCCTTGTTTATCTGCCAAACTACTGTGAACAATTTGTACTGCACTTTACCATTAGTCAGTCAGATTTTAATGAGCAGCTATACGTGGCAACTGGGACAAAGTCTGACTGTGTCATTTGTGCCCCTTTTTAGCCTTCTGCCCCATAGGTTCAATCCAATGCTCTCTTGGAGGGCAAGGAGGACATGGTCATCTCAAAGTTAGCCTCACCTTAACTTTGGGAGAAGGGTTTGTGGTAGCCTTCAAAGGAACAGTGGCACAGCATTTCCTAAGGAGGATTTCCTTGGATCTGGTTAATTTCAGCAATTTGCTCTAGAAAGGGAATACTGGAGATTCTGCAATAGTTATCCAGTTAATTTTGATAACTGTTGCAGTCTCTGTGTTTCCCTTTCTGGAGAAAGTGGTTCAAATGGTGTTGGGGGAATCTGTGAAAGCAACCTAGAAAATACAGAATATTTGAACCCTTTTACTCAAACATGAAATGGAAACAGCACTGGTCACTCCAATAGATGACCTTGGTTGGAACTGAGTAAGAGAAGTATGTCCTTCTTGATGATTCTAGACCTCTCAGTCTGTCAAACATGGTATGTTTCAAAACTGCCTCAAGGGCTGGGGACTGGAAGCACTTATTTGAAATTTATTTTACAAAATGTATTACCTATTCCAGTTCTAATGAACTCTGGGCAGAGTACAACAAAATCAAGTGTAACAGAGAGAAACAAAAGTAAATGTTTAAGTTTAAACAATTAAAGTTAATGACCTGTCAACAGTCATAGAGGAGGAGGCAGCAGCACCCACTGGGTTTGCTGGACTCGCTAGCCTCTAGCATTGCAGTACTGAAAATATTCTTCCAGCCCTTCCTTGAAAGTTCAACATACCTCTAAATGGCAGAACAGCAGCAACACAGCCTGTTCCTCTCTTGGCAGAAGATCGAGAATAAATAACTTCTTAGATATGAAAGAGCTCACTGGAATGATTGTGAGGATGGACATTTCTAACCTCAAAAAAAAAAAACAACAACCCTAGAGTTTAGAACAGGCATGTCAAACTCGTGACGTCATGTGACATCATGCGATGTATCATGACTTTTTCCCCATTGCTGGCAATGGGGTGGGCGCTGTTTCGGCGTGACGCATCCAGCCTGCGGGCCAGCAGTTTGACATGCCTGGTTTAGATCACTGGAGGTGATCTATTCAAATAAGGACAGGGGTTGTAGAACATAACTACAGCATCCTTAACAAATGGCTATCTAATTTATATAGCACATACCAACCTTTAGGCAGAGGATTCTATAACAGTGGTTCTCAACCTTTTTAATGCCGCGACCCCCAACCGGTCGTAAGTCGAGGACTAAACCGGTCGTAAGTCGAGGACTTTCCCTGCCCGGGAGCACCGCACATGCGTGGTTCCGCCCCCTGCGCCGGCCAAGGCGTAGCTGGCAAGTGGCAGAGACGGAGCAGGCCGACCACCAGCTGGCCCAGCCCAAGGGAGGTAAGGCACCCGCCGGAAAAGGGGGAAAAATGGCAGACAGTCTTGCTTGGCGACCCCCGTGAAATGGTCAATCGACCCCAAATGGGGTCGCGACCCATAGGTTGAGAACCGCTGTTCTATAACATACAGTTCTTACAATCTGGCAATTTGACGTAAATATTTAGCTTGAAAACAGTTTCCCTGCAACTGCCACTTTGGTACTTCAGCTCCTGTTCTCTTAAGTGAGAGAAAAACTCAGTGCCATCAGTCATGTTGACCACCCCAACGTGGCATGCTGCAAATATCTGGGATTACAATTTGCATGCTGCTCTCCAAGCAGCCCAACATATTTCTGGATGATAACATTTCTCATTATTATTCTCTTTGATGGGCAAAAGTCATCCAGCAGTTTTAACAGTCCTTCAGAGGCCTTGATTTCCAGACATCAATTATCAACCTGGATGTCTTATCTAAGCATACTACTAGTAGTAGGTCAGTATCCCTCTTTAAAAAATGCAGCTAGAACTGAACACAATATTCTCAGTTGCAACTTGACCTGTAATGGAATGAAAGATTTTAACAAGAGTAAAACAGAAATGTGTGTAGTGTGCATTTCAGCGTATATTTGCTTAATTTTATACCCCCAAACAAGTATATAAACCAAAACGTCTCATGTGAACTACTCCAAATTTTGCTTTGTGCTTCATCAGCAATAAAAATCAGAGTACATGCTTTAAAATGACGTTCAAATACATGTTGTTATATTTTTGAGCATTATTGGAAAAACAAGAATGTGCATGTATAGTAAAAAGACTTATAATAAAATCTGTCAGGCATAAAATCTTAGGTCAACCC